GTTACATTTTCTCATTTGTAATGTGGAAGTAATTCTGTTTCCTGACATTCAATATTGGTGCCATTACTTATTTCTCTCTAATTTGAAAAAGCTAAGGATTTGGAGATGTGGAATGAATGTGATAACATGGTTGTAAAATTACTAGCTTTGGAAAGATACACATTTGGTAAATCTCTCTTTTTAGATCTCTCACTCAAATACTGTCTCCAAATGTTGAATGATTCTTTTAAAGAAAAGTAATGTTTCCCTCCAGTCTGGCCTTTATGAATCTTTTGCTCACCAATTACTCAATTATTCTAACACTTACTGATTGTTGTTGTTAACTGGCATTGAGCTGGCCCCTGACTCATGATGATGCAATGCACAATGGAACAAAACTACTCAGGCCTATAGGATTCCCATGTTTGGTTGTGGATCAGACCATCGTAATCCAGAGTTTTCCTTGGCTGACTTTCAGAAATAGATGAATGCATCACTAGGCCTTTCTTCCTAGTCTGTTTTAATCTGGATGCTCTGCTGAAACCTGTTCAGCATCATAGCAACACACAGACATGTTGTTGTTGTTTTTGTGCCATCGAGTCAGACACGACTCATAGCGACCCCTCCTCAGGTTTCCGAGGCAGTATCACTACGGAAGTAGATTGCCCGATCCTTCTTCTGAGGAGTAGCTGGTGGGTTTGAACTATCAGCTGTCTGGTTAGCAGTCAAGTGCCTTAGGCATTACGCTACCAGAGCTCCTGCACACAGACATACCAGTTACCATCTAGTATACATGTGTATCAAGAAAGACGTGCATCAGGGTTATATGCTTTCACCATATTTATGTAATCTACATACTGAACAAATAATCTGAAAAACTGTACTGTATGAAGAACACTGTGGCTTCAGGATTGGAGAAAGACTCATTAACAACTTGCACTATTCAGATGACACAATCTTGCTTGCTGATAGTGAAGAGGACTTGAAACACTTACTGATGAAGATCAAGGACTAGAGTTTTCAGTTGGATTACACCTCAAGAAAAAGACAACAAAAATCATCCTCCCAACTGGACCAATTAGCAACATCATGATAAATGGAGGAACAACTAAACTTGTTAAGGATTTCATTTTACTTGGATACACAATCAACACCTAGAAAGTTACAGTTAAGAAGTCATGGATGTATTGTGTTGGGCAAATCTGTTGGAAAAGATCTCTTTAAAGTGTTTAATAGCAAAGATGTCTATGGTTTAGTAAATTACATAGTGTAGCTTTTCTAGCCATAAGTCTTTGTAAACTCTGTGGTGGAATTTGCCATGAGCAACTAAGTAGCTCCAGATTGTTAAAATTATCCACCTGGGGTATTTCTGTTGCCAGTGGCAGGAAGCAATCTTCTGGGAAGTTCTCTCTCTCTCTCTCAGGTGTATAGAATTCTGATGTTGAGACTGGTTAGTTTGGCCACTGTGCCAGGTTCAAAAGGAGCTCTCTTGGAGGCAGAAGGACTCTATTGCTGCTGGGAGAGATGCAAGAGACACGAGCTGCTGGGAGACACACGAGAGACGCATGCTGCTGGGAGAGAGACTGAGAGAGTGTCGGTTGAGAGACGGGTGGTTGAGAGAGACACCATGTTCCTGAACTTGAATTGTAGCCTATCGCTTCCCTAATAAACTCTATAGTCTGTGAGTTCTGTGTGGCCTCTGAAGCGAATTATCAAACCCAGCAGGAAGGTGGTGGGTGCTGCGGGAGGAACGGTTGGTGTCAGGGCTGGAGGGACATGGCATGTCTGGCCTCTCAGGAATCGGTCTTGGGCTACTGATGGTGATTCTCTCTTCCTCTTGTGGGATTAGAGGAGGTCAGAAGTTGTGGTCCCCTTGCCTCTGGCAAAAGCATGAGCCACCAAATTTCAGCAACTTAACACCAGGTCAGTGACAAACATCTTCCTCTTCATTTGGTCAGGTTCTACTCAGCTCAGCCCTAGCCATCCCAGCTAAGTCAGTGTCACTTTGAAGACTAACATGTGCCTGACCCAAGCTGTGGTATTTTCAATAACCTCATATACATGTGAAAGCTAGACATTGAATAAAGAAAACTACAGAAGAATAGATGCATATGAATTACGGTGTTGGTGAAGAATATTGAATATACCATGGACTGCCAGAAGAACAAACAAATCTATCTTGGAAGAAGTACAGCTGGAATGCTTACTTAGTAGACAGAATGGCCAGACTTCATCTCTCATACTTTGTTCATGTTGTCAAGAGGGACTTGTCCCTGTAGAAGGAGATCATATTTGGTAAAGTGAAGTGTCAGCAAAAAAGAGGAAGACCCTCAATGAAATGGATTGACACAACGGCTGCAACAATGGGCTCAAGCATAGCAGTGATTGTGAGGATGGTGCAGGGTTGGGCAGTATTTCGTTCTACTCTTGTACAAGATCACTGTGGAGCTGACTCAGTGTTGATGACTAACAACATCATGCATGTGTGCATATATATAGATATATTAAAGCATATGTACACACACACTTTAAAATGGTTCCTTTTTTCAGACTGATTAATTACTCACTACTGATTGACATCAACTGTGGGTAAACAAACCTTTGACTAGGATGTCTAAATACAATAATTTCTTAACTCAAGCCATGTAGGGGGTTAGATTCGCCAAGCTATTACAGCTTGAGTGTTTTTCTGTAGATTCCACTCACTGAACAAACCCACTGCCATTGAGTTGATTCCAATTCATAGCGACCCCCATTGTGTTTCTGAAGTGGTGAGTCTTTACAGAGGTAGATTGCCCCATCTTCTTTCTGCAGAGCGACTGGTAGATTTAAAGCCTCAGCCTTCTGGTTAGCAGTCAGATGCCTTAGGCACTATGCCACCCAGAGCTCTTTATGAAGGTGATTCTTGCTAGTTTTTCACAAAAATTCATAAAAATTAAGACCATTTTTAAAATAACATATCTGTTGATATGATTAAAGGGAATATTATCTTATTGCACTTAGCATGGTATAGTGGCAAAACACAGATTTTATGGCAGAAAACCTGGTTTATGACCTTTTTTCCATTTACTAGTTATGTGTCTTTGTGTAAAACACTAAATGACTCTTATTCTTAGTTTTCTCATATATGCAATCACATATTATTTTTTTGGTATAAATAATGTATATGGAAATGCCTTGTAGTTAATAATGATATAAATTATTATTATTACCACTCAGAATATTCCATTGAAATATATATGCATATATATAACAAAAAAAGCACCAAATTCACTGTTGTCCAGTCATTTCCGACTCATAATGATCCCTCCTTGCACTCCTGAGGTGCTATCTCTACGGGAGTAGATTACCCAATCTTCCTTTATATCTATATCTACATTGTGATTCTGCTCTATGGAACATAATGTTATTTTATGTTTTGGTTTAACTGAGGGTGGTCAAGGGAGTTCTGGTGGAGTAGTGCCTAAGGCATGTGACTCCTAATCAGAAGGCTGGCAGTTCAAACCCACAAGCCATTCTTCAGAAGGAAGGCTGGGCAATCTACTTCCACAGAGATACCACTTTGGAAACCCAAGGAGGTATTGCTATGAGTCGAATTGACTGCAGTGATTGGTTTTTTGGTTTTGGAGGGTAGTCAGGCTTGAATCCAATGTTGAGCTCCCTTTTTTCACTTTCTTGTACATCCCACAATATTCAAGAAATGAAATAATTATTTTTTGTTCTCTAATTTTAAAAAAATTATTTTTATTGTTGTAAAGAATATACACAGCAGAACATACACCAATTCAACAGTTTCTACATATACATTGATTACATTCTTTGAGTTGTGCAATCATTTTCACCCTCCTTTTCTGAGTTTTTCCTCCACCAGTAACATAAACTTACTGCTACCTAAAGTTTCTATCTCATTTTTCAAGTTGCTGTAGTCAGTTTGATCCCATATTGATAGATTTTAAAAGAACACAATGTTCAAGGCAGGTATTACTTTATTAGTTAAGCTGAACTATTGTTTGGCTATAAGAACACTTCAGGGAATACTTTTGGTTTAAGATTTAATGATTGTCTCAGGGCAGTAGTTTCAGGGGTTCATCCAACCTCCCTGGCTCCAGAAAATCTGGATTCCCTAAGAATTTGAAATTCCATTCTACATCTACATTTTCCCCTTTTTGGTCACGATTCTTCTATAGAATCTTCGATCAAAGTATTCAGTAATGATAGCTCGGCACCATCCAGTTCTGGTCTCATGGCAAATGAAACAATTACTTGTATCATCTTTTGAGGAATATATACTTCTTTTTTCCCTAAAAAAAATGCTATAAACTTTATGGTGTATTTTATCATATCAACATCAAAAGAAATGAGCATGTAATGCTTAAAGGCTTTATGTACCACATGAAAATATTTACATTCATTTCCAGTGTCGCAGTATGAAAGCATATTCTGTTTATGGACATAATGAAATTCTAAAGCCATAATAAACAGAAGTTGCTGGTATGGTCCTGCCACTTCAGATTGTGTCTTTCCAGATTGGTCACTTCTCAGATGGAAAAGCTCTAGGGAGTCCCTAACAGCCATGGGAATTGATAAGTGACTTGAGTAGTTGTTGTCCTCATTTAAATGCACACTAAACTGAGGCTTAAGTATACCATCAGCTTCAACATGGTCTTTGTAGATCTCATCTTCATGACGAACCAGATGTCTCCCTTACGGCAATTTGGGCTTTACAATTGCATGAGGCATTTTGTAGGAGACGAGATGCTGCCTTAGCGTTACCATGAGATTTTCATCTGGTTAATTACAGACTGACTTTCTACATCCCAAATGAATGTTGGTAGCTTCCCTTGACTTTTGAAAATCACCTGTATTGGTATAGAATTACCATCATTCTCAGGAGAAAGATTAAAAGGGTCCATGTCTATAAAGTCTATGTGTTTGGCCTTTTGGGATTAAAGTGACTTTTATATTATCTTGTATCATCTTTCCCTACTAAACACAATTTTTTTATATATGTATTTATATAGCATGCCAATGAGAAAACAAGTGGATCACCTTCTAAACCAGGAGAAAAGAAAGGAGCAGATGAGGTAATTATTAATAATACTTGGTGTTCATTTTTTGTTGCTTTTAAATTGTGAATTCTGTCTTGAAACATTAAATAATGAGATACCAAAGAGAATACTGGCAAATTTAGTTTTAACTAAGATTTGACTCAAGAATATAAGAGGAAATCATTAAAAGTAAAGAGCTTCTGGGAAATGATTCAGTTATTTAGAGTGCTTCCCCTCTAGAAATCAGTGAATCTTAGTAGTTTTTTTGGTGAACATGGCAGATTTATAAGGGGAAACCGAATGCTATAGTTTCTGGAAAAGGAAATCTTTGTTCATGAAAGTGCATCATAAAAGGAGGACAAGGATGGCTGAAAATAAAGTCATTCAAGTTCATAAATAAAAGGAAGAAAGAAAAAATTATTTTTATTTGGACCAATTCACTGGAAATCCCAGTCAAACCAAATATGCTCACTTTGCCGTGAGTTTTTTTGAGCCTGCGAATATTTCTTTTTACTGAATGTTACATCATTATGGGCACTGTCAACACTGGCCTGCTCTCTAGGGAAGGGAGATGGAAAGTGCTCTGGACCTGCCTCCCTTTGGCTACTTTTTACATTTGAAATCTCCATAGGTATGTTTATCTTTATTCCATAGAAAGTATTTCTTTTCCAACTTTTAAAGCTCATAGGACCAGGTTCTAAAATGTGTGTGAATTTTTAGAAACCTAAAGTGACCATTTTATTTTCTCTGTATTGTCCAACATTCAATAAATGTCTTTAGAAATGTAGTTACTTCTCTGACTGATATTCTGCATTTTTAAAATACTCAAAATATAAGGAGGCAGTTACGGCTAGAGCATGCCATGCATTTTCTACTGAGGTTTACTCCACAACTTCTATCATAATTTCTGTTACTTATCCTCAAGAAAATATAATTTAGATGATTTCTTTCTAAGGAAATTAGTAGTGAATTTTTGTCCCCATGGAAGGCAAATATTCTTTAAAAATTAATAGTAAAAATAAATGTATTAAAATTTCATCCTATTTCTTGGATTATTATAAAATGAATTTCCTTGTAGAAAGCCATCTCTTTTTTCTTTTACTATTGTGAAAATATATACCATATCACCAGTTCCTTTATCAACCCAACCCTTTTAAATATATTCATTGCTGTTATCTATAAAACGAATTATTTAATCAAATATTAAGTACTTCTTGTTTGAACACAACAGTATTCCTTTTTCTTTCAGACAAGGAAATACTCTTCATGGATGTTATTCTCTATTAATATTAATAAAAATTAAACTATTTGCACAAAAAGGAATGTTTATCTGCAAAGAAAAGATTATGTTCTCTTCCAATATAGTCAAGTGAATAGTAGGCCATTTCTTATTGAATCATTCTTGCACATTATGTTATAACTTCAAAGTGTAAATATTATACCTTGAATGGACAGGCATTTATTGATTTAGCCAACAACTACTAGCACAGACTTAGGTCTGTACTACAGAGCACCTTGCTCCAAATTTGTAAAGAGCTTGAAAAATCTGATAAGGAGCCCTGTTACAGATGCAGCCAGAGAAGAACTCCAGATTTCTGTGCCAGTAGAGGCAGGTTGTCCTTTCAGTTTGAAGCTGAAAGTCTGAACTTCTGCATCCAGAGGAGGAAGAAATTTTTTATCTCTTTATCCACAGCTCAGTCAATTTGGACATTGTTTCATTGCACTGCTGGGAAATTCAGATTTACAACTGCTGCCCTTGTGCCAGAACCTAGATGCATCAGTTTCTTCTTCTCTGTCATAAACAGAGAAGAAGAGAGGAGATAGAGGCTTTATCTTGTTCCCATGGCTTAAATCAATGTACAGTTGTAATGTATTCTGAGATTGAAAATTGTTCATCATCTCATCAAGTTCTGCCCATATCTGTTTGCTAGAATGGATGGATACTGGGGTGGGATAACTTGGTGGTCAAGATATTTCCAAAATGGTCTCTCCTGAAAATAGCCTGTTTCATGTAAACCCTGAAATGTTATATACAAATAGGTCATAGATGAGATATTGTGGACCTGAAGACAACTCAGGTAAACTATCCTATATTAGTCATTTTGGCCTTCATGTCCATGGTTATAAAGCTGTGTGCAATCAGGATTTGTTATCTGCCCTGCCTACCGTCTGTGGTTATTTGTCATCACTCTGACTTTTCAAAAGGAGCTCTGGTGGCACAGTGGTTAAAGCATTCTTCTGCTAACAGAAAGGTTGGCAGTTTGAACCCACCAGCCACTCTCTGGGAGAAAGATGTGGCAATCTGCTTCCATAAAGATTTACAGTCTTGGAAACTCTATGGGTGCATTTTTACTCTATTTTACAGGGTAGGTATAAGTCAGAATTGACTTGACAGCTGTGGGTTGGGTTTGGTGTCTTCCCAACATTACTTGAGAAAGATCTCCTGAAACATATTTCTTTTCTCAAACATTTTCTTACCTGCTGCTTTGTTGGACAAGAAGTGAGATTAAGAAATTTAGCTTGGATTTTAGTAATCCATTTTCAAACTAGCATTTAGTTCCAAAGGTTAAATAACTGAATATCTCACAAAAATATGCAAATATACTTATCAGGCCTTCAAGGACAAGCCTTTGTTTTGGGGACAAAGTCAGTTTGGAAATTTGCTTTCTGTGCTTAGGTGGCATAGTGCCTAAGGCAGTTGACTGCTAACCAGAAGGCTGGCAGTTCAAACCCACCAGGCACTCCTTGGAAAGAAGGTTGGGCAATCTATGTAGTGAAACCGCCTCAGAAACCCAAGGAGGGGGTCGTTCTGAGTCGGATCTGACTTGATGGCAGTGGATTTGGGTGGGTGCTTAGGGATAATGCTTGGTATTTTTCCTCTTTCTTGTGTTACTCAACTCTAGTTTATTTGGAAGTACAAGAAAAAAGGCAGAGAGAAGGACTTCGGGGGGATATAACCAAGAGTGAAAAAACAATTAAGGTTAAGTTAGGATTGCCTTTATACTCTTATATATAAAAAATACTTGGGGACGAATGCAGCTGTGTGCATTTCAGAATTCTTTCTCCCTTGCTATAATAAACAGATATATATATACACACACATATGAATATGACCCCCCTGTACTGCCACTGAGTGATCTAAAATGTTTGAATCATGAAACTGAAACATCATTTGTCATGTTGCATTTGTAATGTGAATGCTTTAGGATGGAGCAGTGTCAGTACCTATGGGAATTTATTTATTTATTTTTATTAGATCCATTTTAGGAATTCTTCCTGTCTTTCTCGGCTGTGGAGGAATTACAGAACTAAAAGTTGTTGCATGAACTAACAAGCCAAAGATAAAATGACCAGAGAGCAGGAGAAGGAAAAATGAAAACACTTACCATCAGCATCTTTAAATACAGTGAATGGAACAAAGAATACTTTCCAAACCTGCAATTAAATCTATTTAAAGTATTTGATTGGCACATCAAGCCACACTGGAGGAGTATAGACATTTTAGCAACACATTTCAGGGAAGTCTTGAGGGTCAGAATTTAAGGACAAGATGGGCATGATCTCACAGGGCCAGTTTTGAAAACTTAAAATTAGATAATAGATATATTTTTATGGATCGAGAAAGGAAATTCTAAATAGAAAAGAATAGAAATTGTGTCTTAAATGAAAAGATTTTCAATAAATTTTCTTTATCATGCTAGAATTCTTTCTCTTGGTGTTTACCTTTCTTCCTTCTAAAATGTTTGAATTAAGTATTGAATCATTCAACTGTTTATTTCCTTAATTCTTTTAATGAAATTGATCTTTTAAAAAAATCAGAAGAAAACTAATACATTTTGTGAAAAGAAACAATATTACCTATGTTGTTGTTGTTGATATGTGCCGTCGAGTCGGCCCTGACTCATAGCGACCCCTCCTTGGGTTTCCGAGGCAGTATCACTACGGAAGTAGGATTGCCCAACCTTCCTTCCGAGGAGTGGCTGGTGGGTTTGAACCGCCAGCCGTCTGGTTAGCAGGCAAGTGTCTTAGCCACTATGCTATACCACTTAGATATTCACTCTAAAACCAAAATACCAAAATCACTGCCAATGAGATGACTCATAGCGACCCCCATTGCGATTCCAAAGCTGTAAATCTTTCCAGAAGTAGACCACCTCATTTTTCTTCTGTGGAATGACTGGTGGATTTGAACCACTGACCTTTTGGTTAGTAGCCAAATGCCTTAAGCACTACACCATCTGAGCTCCTTAGTTGTGACTAACTCATTGAGTCATTGAGTTGGATCCGACTTGTAACGACTCTTCCTTGGGTTTCTGAGGCAGTATCACTGAGGAAGTAGATTGCACAATCTCTCTTCTGAAGAGTGGCTGTGGGTTTGAACTGCCAGCCTTCTGGTTAGCAGTCAAATGCCTCAGGCACTAAGCCACCAGAGCTCCCTACTGCTATAAAATTGTGTGTACATTCTTCACTTGTTACAGTAATATTATGTATTCATAGCTACCATCCATACTGATTTTAGAAACCTTTTCATGATCATAGAGCTAATACAGTCATTAAAGAAAATTTTAAAAGTTACAGAAGACTTTTGTAGTGTAGTAAATTACATAATACGGATTTTCTAGCCATAGTCTTTGTAAACTCTGTGACGGAATTTGCCATGAGCAACTGAGTAGCTCTTGATTGTTAAAGTTATCCAACTGGGGTATTTCTGTTGAGAGTGGCATGAAGCAATCTTCTGGGAAGATCTCTCTTTCTCTCAGGTATATAGAATTCTGATGTTGGGATTGGTTAGTTTGGCCACTCCACCAGGCTCAAAAGGAGTCCTCCTAGAGCCAGAGAGAATCTCTCACTGCCAACTGAGAGACACAAGACACATGCACTACTGGGAGAGAGACAGAGAGAGAATGTCAGCTGAGAGGCGGCAGGTTGAGAGAGACAGACTGTTCCTGAACTTGAGTTGTAGCCTGTAGCTTCCCTGATAAACCTCATAATCTGTGAGTTCTGTGTGGTCCCTGCAGCAAGTTATCGAACCCAGC